CAAAATCTCTGTAAATGTTCACAAAAATTATTTTAAAAATATTAAAATAAAATTTTTAAAAAAGGAAAAAAAAAGGTAGTTTCTGACTTTCTAGGTCTGAATGAGAGTCGGCATGGAAGCTACCAGATGAAGCCACTATTGCTGCTCTAGAGACCATACTGAATTGCAAAGAACTAACTGATGTGATTCCTAATGAACTACCTCAAAACCTCTTTTAAGACACACATGTTCTCTCACTTTCCCTGTCTTTCTCAGCTTTCCGCCTTGGAGGCCACAGGCTCAGCCCTCATCCACTGTGCTGAGCCATCCAGCCCATGACCAGACTTGGATCACATGTATACCCCTGTGCTCAGCCCAGCAACGAGATGGAACATCTTAACTGAGCCATTCTTCTTAGACGATAGTTTAGTGAGCATACCTGAGACTCCTTTGAGGTATCATTCCCAACTCAAGAAAACAACAACAAAACAAAAAACAATCCAACACACCAAAAACATGATTGACATTGAGCTACAACCCAACTCCTTGCTGACCCTCCAGTGGGTTTTGGAAGGCTGTAAATTGCATGGGAATAGATTGCACATCTTTCTTCAGAGCAACTGGTGGATTCAAACTGCCAGAGAAGTGTTGTCGTTGGATTAATAGCACAGCTCTCTATGGTTTATTAAGCTATTCCTTCCAAATATAAGCAAAATTTTTCCAAGGAGGAAGAATGAAAAATATTTTTCCCCTAACTCGTGTCGTCACTCCAGGCAATAAAGAGAGGTGAGTAAGGGGCTTATTGTTGTTATTGTTGTTGTTGACAGCCTTCAAGTCAAGCACGACTCATAGTAACCCTATGAACAAAAGGTCTGAAAACCCTCAAAACCATCAACATTTATCAAAGTTCATAGTTTCCAGAGGCATTTTGTTTAAGAAGTGGATGCCACTCCTGCTTCCAAGGGTAAGGGGCTTATGGGGACAACTTTAGAAGGCTCTTTAATTGACGTTTGTAGGTGTTTGGTCTGGGAAACTATATCACTTAAAACAATATCAATTGAGTAGGGTGCCTGCTCTATGCAAAGACCTATAGAACATGATGACTTTGAAATAATCGGATAAATTCAAGTTGCATTTTCTAATTTCTTATACTGCTTCTGTTTATCACTCCTGTCTCTCCCCTGTTTTCTAGTTCCCTAAGAGAGGATATGTTTTATAATGATTGGTTAAAGGGATTTGGCAAATATTGGCATCAAGCTTAGGAAGAAAGAATAGGAATAAAAAGTTTATAGCACCAAAAAAAAAAAAGTTTATAGCACCAAAACTATCATGATCATGGAAAGAATATGTCTTCAATCTTTCATCATCTGCACTTAGCATCAGTTCTATGTTCTACAACCTTTCTTTTTCAACTCTAATCCCTCTCTTCTCCATCTAACAGGGAGTTTAGTTTCTTAAAGCTATTGGCTCCTTAAAGATACTGAAGGAAAGGTGTTCTGATTATGTTTGCTTTGTCATCCCTAAGTCCAAATGGAGGCTGAAGTCACCAAACAAAACTGTTTTCCAAAGGAAATAACAAATAGCCCCTGTGAGAAGCTTCAGAGTAGGGAGGGACAGAGTACTACTTGATGATAAGAAGGAGATTGTTACCGTCTGTCTTTGCTTTTGATCATTGCCTTTAATCTTCTTCCTCAATTGGCTTCAGTATCTTGCCCATGATACTGTTTCCCAATCCTGTCCACTTGATATTCAAAATATTTCATTTTCACAATATTTTGAACATATTGGGAGAAAAAAATTAATATATTTAACAAATAACTTGAAAAAACTTTATAGTAATTTTCCTAAAGCACCTTTCAAATTTTGTTCCTGGTCTCTTTCAAACTTCCATTTTTCCTTCATTGCCTCTTCAACATCCTCTCTTGTAACAAATGGCAATCCTTTTGATTTATCTTCACTTAGTTCCTTTAGCAGGTTTCGTATGTGCCAAGTCTGTTCATCCTTTAAGCGTTTATTCTGTCATGAAAAGTGACAGTACGTTTGCTACAGCTGCTTAACTATTTACATTGGTTTTTTTCCTAAAGACAGTCACACATTGAAATTTCAAAAGCACAACTAATTATTTCATGATAAAAATTTTAAGAAAATATATCTAAGAGTTTATGGATTATAGAAAACTCAAAATAAAATGAAATGTATCAACACAGTAAAACATTAAATATTAAAACTATTCTTCTCTATCATTCATTATTTCCTTAGACAGCATATATAAAGTATCTGCTATACCTACTTTCTAAACAACATGCCTCTGGAAAAAATCTATGAACTTTAATAAATGTCAGTAGTTGTAGAGGGGTGTCAGGCCTTTTGTCCATAGGGACACTATGAGTCGTGCTCAACTTGAACAACAACAACATACTCCAGGTGGTTTTCTAGGTACTAGGAACTATCAGTGGATCAAAGAGAAAATAAGTATAGAGAACTTAGCATTATTCTTTGTCTCACAAATGACCCTTTTCCTCTTCTTTTAGAGTGATAGTTATTAACCACTCCATTTCACTCTTGAAACATGTACTTGGTTCCTCTTACAGATAGCCATCTGTGTTTCTAAGAGTCTTATTTAATCAACAGAGAGTTCATTCTTGCACTCACTAGCTATCTTATGTATTGTTGTTGTTATGTGTTGTCAAGTCGCCTGTGACTCATAGAAGCCCTATGTACAACAGTTAGCAAGCCTGCCCTATTCTGAGCCCATCTCATTGACTCTGACAAACTTACCCCCACTTCCCCAGTTACTGTATCAGTTCATCTCATCTAGAGTGTTCTTCTCTTGTGCTATCCCCTCCACCCTTCCAAACAAGAAGTCCTTCTCCAAGGATCCATCCCTCTTGGCCACATGCCTAAAGTGTCTGAGTTGGAGCTAAAAAATCCTAGCCTCCAAGGAGAAACTTGGTTTCACCCTTTCCAAAAAGACTTGTTTTCTTGGCAGTCCATGGTATGTTCAATATTCTTCTCTAGCACCAAAACTCAAAGGCATCGATTCTTCTGCGATCCTTAGTCATTGTCCAACTCTCTGATGCATAGCAAATAATTGTGAAAACCTTGGCCTGGATCAGGTGTACCTTAGTCTCTAGACTTGACAGTGTTGCTTCTCAGTACTCTGGAGAGGTCTCAAAAAGCAGATTTTCCCAGTGTCTTCTGATTACCTGATTGCTAGTGCTAAGATTGTTGATTATGGAGCAGAGTAAGCTGTAATTGTTAATAACTTCATTATCTTCTTCTTCTATCATGGTACTGCCAATTGGTTCTGTAGTGAGAATTTTTGTTTTCTTGATGTTTAGCTTCAATCCACATTGAAGACTACACTCCTTTACCTTCTGAAGCAAGAGCTTCAGGTCCTTCTTAGTTTCAACAAGCCATGTTTTGTCCTCTGCATAACAAAGGTTGTTGATGAGTCTTCCTCCCATTCTGATACCACATTCCTCCTCATAAAGCCCAGCCTCCTGAATGATCTGATATTCATATAGATTGAAAATATATTGGAGAGAGGACACATCCTTGACACACTCCTTTACTGATTTTGAACCATGCAGTGTTTTCTTGCTCTGTTAAGAGGACTGCTTCCTGGTTTGAGGATAGGTTTCTCATAATCAAAATCAAGTGTTCTGGGATGCCCATTCTCTTCAAGGTTAGCCACAATTTGTTGTGATCCACACAGTCAAATGCCTTTGCATAGTCAATTAAACACAAATAGATATTCCTCTGATACTCTCTGCTTTCTATCAAGATTCATCTGACATTGGCAACAATGTCTGTAGTACCACGACCTCTTCTAACCCAGCTTGCACTTCTGGCAGTTCTCTGGCAACATATCTTCCCAGTCATTTTTGGATAACCTTCAGGAGGACATAATCCTATTATGTATATGTAGAGAAATATTTTAAGGTTATTGTTATTGCTATGTGCCATCGAGTCACCTGTGACTCATAGCAACCCTATATACAATAGCTCTGAATCTTGCCCTGTTGTGAGCCAGTCTCACTGACTCCAACACAACTATCCCCATTACCTCAATTACTATGTCAATCCAACTCATCTGGGGTCTTCCTCTCCTATGCTGTCCTTCTACCCTCTGCCCATGATGTCTTTCTCCAAGGACTAGTCCCTCATGGCCATGTGTCCCAAAGAATGTAAGATAGAACTTCAAAATCCTTGCCTCTAAGGAGAAACTTAGTTTCACACTCTCCAAAACAGAACTATTTGTTTTCTTGGCTGTCTATTGTATGTTCAATACTTTTCTCCTGCACCACAACTCAAAGGCATCAATTCTTCTTCTGTCATCCTTAGTCTTTGTCCAGCTCTCTGACACATAGCAAGTAATTGCAAAGACGATGGCCTGGTTCACATGCACATTAGTCCATAGACTGACATCATTGCTCTTTAGCACTTTGGCGAGGTCTGACAGCACACTTCCCCACTGCAATTTGTCTTTTGGTTTCATGACTACTGGGGTCAAGAGTGTTGACTGTGGAGCTGAGCAAACTGAGATTGTTAACAACCTCAGTATCTTCTCCATTCATCTTGGTGCTGTCAATTGGCCCAGTCATGAGAACCTTTTGTCTTCTTGATGCTAAGATTCAATCCATATTGAAGACTACAGTCCTTGACCTTCTGCAGCAAATGCTTTAGGTCCTCTTCAGTTTTGGCAAGCAAGATTATATCCTGTGTATAACACAAGTTGTTGATGAATCTTCCCCTAATCCTGATGTCACACTCCTCCTCATAAAGTTCATCCTCCTGAATGATCTGTTCTGCACACAGATTGGAAAAGTATGGAGACAGGACATATCCCTGATGAACTCACTTCCTAATTTTCAACCATGCAGTGTTTCCTTGCTCTATTCTGATATGCATACACCAACCACTAAAGCAAAATGAAAGAAAGTGAGGACTTCTAATTAATACTTGCTATGCATCAGAGAGCTGGACAATGACTAAGGATGATAGATGAAGAATTGATGCTTTGAGCTGTGGTGCTGAAGAAAAGTATTGAATACACCATGGACTGCTAAGAAAACAAACACATTTGTCCTGGAGAGGGTGAAAGGAGACTGCTCCTTGGAAGCAAGGATTTTGAAGTTCCATCTGACATACTTTAGGCATGTTGCAAGGAGGGACCAGTCTGGGAGAGGGATATCATGCTTGGAAGGGTGGAGGAACAGTGCAAGACAGGAAGACCCTGGATGAGATAGACTGACTCAGTGACTGGGTAATATGGTTAAGTGTGTCATGTTGTTGCTGTTGATTGCCTTTGAGTTGAGCATGACTCATAGCAACCCTATGACACCCCTCTGGAGGCATGTTATTTATGAAGTGGATGATGAAATTGTCTCAGGATAGAACAGGATGTTATATATAGGGTCTTTATGAGTCAGAGAGATGGATGGTGAAGAGATTGAGATTGTTCACAGTCTGCTTGGCTCCACAGTCAACACTCTTGGCACCAGTAGCCAGGAAATTAAAAGGCGTATTGTGATGGGAAAGTCTGCTGTTAGGGACCTCTTCAAAGTTCTGAAGAGCAATGTTGTCTCTCTGGAGACTAAGGTGCATCTGATACAGGCCATGGTCTTTGCAATCACTATTATGCATCAGAGAGGTGGGCAATAACTAGGGAGGACAGAAGGAGAATTGATGCCTTTGAGCTGTGGTGCCGGAGAAGAATGTTGAGGTTACCATGGACTGCTAGGAGAACAAACAGATTCATTCTAGAGAGGGTTAAACCAGGTGGCTCCGTTGAGGCAAGGATTCTGAGGCTCTGTCTAACATTGGACATCTAACTTTGGACATGTTGTAAGGAGGGACCAGTCCTTGGAGGGGGACATCATGTTTGGGAGGGTGGAGGGACAGCACAGGCGAGGAAGGTCCTCTATGAGGTGGACTGACTCAGTGACTGGGGTAATCGGGATGGGTATATTGGAGACGGTGTGACTGGCACAGGACAGAGCAGAGTTTAGGGCTGTTGTACATAGGGTTGCTATGAGTCGCAAGCAACTCGATGGCACATAACAACAACAACAACAACAACGAGTCAGAGTCGACTCAATGGCACATAACAACAACAACAACAACCAACTTTTGCAGAGTGAAATAGACTGAACATGCAATCAAGATACATTAATAATAGCTGGTGACTGGAATGTAAAGTTGGAAACCAAGAAGGACTGGTAGTTGAAAAATATGGATTTAGTGATAGAAAGGAGGCTGTTGATAGAATTTTAATAATTAATTCATTGCAAATACCATTTATAAAAAACATAAATGGTAATTACACCCATGGACCGACCCTCTCTAATGGACTACTAGGAATCAGATTGACTGTGTCTGTGGAAAAAGACATTGGAGAAACTCAATGATAGCAGCCGAAAAAGGTCAAGGACCATTACCCCTGTGGATTTGCCTGCTTATGCATGAACAGCTCCATCCTAATCAGTCTCAAGAGAGGAGACAGGTATGCTGCTGGCTGCTAGCACCTACTGAGACTTGTGGAGGGACCAGGGAGCACTGGGATTTGACCTTTTACTGAGTGAAACCACCCTCTCCCGTCCAACAAGAGAGCAGGGCAGAGAAGCTGCCCTTCACCACAGATGGACAAAGGGAGAGACCCCAGCTCCCTGGCCCTCAAAGGATAACCAAATGAGAAGTTTTCCACAAGAAAGGGAACAGAGCCAGCAATAGACAATAACCAGAGATATATGGGAAACTGAACTGGGGCTATACTTAAAAGCTTACAACTCTATTAATTGCATCATAAAGATAAGGAACTGACATCCTATGCAGATACAACAAAAACTGCCTCACACATACCAAGTACTTGACATATTATCAGGGAAACAGCAGGCAGGTTGAAACATAACGGGGGTAAAAATCAAAACACTTTCTTCTAAAAGCAGACTAGATTACATACCAAATTGATATTTCAGAGACAGAAAGGCAGAAGAAATATATTGAAGTGGAGTTACATTAACTAGAACTGAGGGAATTACTGATGATGGGGAAAAGAGTTGAAATGTAAGTAAAGAGGTACAAGAATGAAACAAAAGATCACAAAACAGAATACAACTAATACAGTACTAGAAACAACAGAAATGCATGCAAATATAATCCAGAATGTTGTTGTTGTGAGGTGCCATTGTTTTGAGTACAATTCATAGTGACCTATGATCAAAAGATCTGAACCCTCCCCTATCCTGCAGTATCCTCACACTTCTTGATAAACAAGAGCACACAGCAGCAGTCAGTCACCATGTCAGTCCACCTGGCTGAGGGTCTTCCTCTCCTTCGCTGACCATTGACCCTTCTCAGCATCATTGTCCTTCTCCAAAGAATAGCACCTCCTAGCAACATGTCAAAATTCTGTGAGGTGAAGCCTTATCATTCTTGCCTCTAAAGAGCACTCTGGCTGCACCCTCTCCAAGACATATCCATTTGTTCTCCTGGCTGTCCATGGGGTGTTCTCCAACATGACAGCTCAAAGGCATCAATCCTTCTGTCATCCTTATTGATTTTCCAGCTTTCAGATGCATAGCAAGTAATCAGAAAAACTATGGCCTGAATGAGATGTACCTTAGTCCTCAAATTGACATCATTACTTCTCAATAATTTGTGGAAAAGTCCCTAACTGCAAATTTTCCTAATGCAATGCATCTCCTTAACTTCCTGACTGCTGGTAACAGAGCTGTTAATTTTAGGCTCAAGGAAGATGAAGCTGTTGACAGTTTCAATCTCCCCTCCATCTATCATAACACTGCCTACCGGTCGAGTGGTAAGAATCTTTTTTTCTTGATACTGAAATGCAATCCATACCAGAGGATGCATTCATTGATAACAGGACCAATGTTGATAACAAGACCAATATTGAATAAATTGTCAACATATTGGAGGAACCAAAAATGTAGAATAGAAGCAATGAAACAGTGAATCAGCAAGCTAGAAGACAAGAACCTCAATGAGAAGTTACAAGAAGAAAAAACGAAGAAGGAAGACAGAAAAGGAAGAAAACATTTAGAATCGTGTGGGATAACATCAACCAGAACAATATACAGGTAAACTGGAATTCCAGAACAGCAGAGGGGAGGGAAAGCACTGAGAAAATGGTGGAAGAGGTACTAGAAGAAAACTTCCCTAGTATCATGAAAAACATGGAAATAAACATTCAAGAAGTTCCGTGAACTCCAAACAAACTAGACCCCCAAAGAAAAACTTTATATAGTCGAACTCTTCAAAATCAAAGTCAAGGGTAAAATACTAAAAAGTAGCATGAGAAAAACAAAGAGTCACCTACAAAGGAGAACCAATTAGATTAAACTCTAAAAGAAGACAATGAGACAGCATATACAGAAAGCAGAAAGAAAACAATTGCCTGCTGAGGATCCTGTATCCAGCAGAGCTGTCCATCAAATACAAAGGGAAAATTAGGACATTTGTAGAAAAGCAGGAACTTACGGAATTCATGAAAACAAGTCCAACTCTACAAGAAATACAAAGAGAAGTCCTTCACACAGAGACAACAAAGGAAAGTAGGTGGGCCAAAGTAAGCAGCAACAAGAGAAAAATGAATGCAGCAAAATGACAATGGTAAAACCTGCCCTGTCAATAATCATACTTAATGTAAATGGCTTAAATGTGCCAATTAAGAAAAAAAGGGTAACAGAATAGGTAAGAAAATTTTAAAAAAATTCAACGTGTTGCCTCCAAGAGACACATAACAAATTATGGCTAACATTGAGAGGAAGTGAAATCCTGGAACACTTAGCTATGTTTGTGCAAAACCTGTACATAGGCCAAGAAACTATTGTTCAAACAGAATACAGGAATACTGCCTGGCTTAAAATTAGGAAAAGTGTTTATCAGGGCTGTATCCTTTCTCCATACCTATTCAATCTGTTATGCTGAGCAAATAGTTATACAAACTAAACTACATGAAGAAGAATGTGGTATTCACATTGGAAGAAGACTCATTAACAACCTGAGTTATGAAAAACAAACAAACAAAAACACTCACAACCTTACTTGGAGAAAGTACAGTTGACTTAACTATTCAGTGCCGAGATCAAAGACAACAGTCTTCAATATAAATTGTATCGAAATATCAAAACCCAGAAATCCTCAGCAATTGACCAATCGGGCATCATGATAAGTGGAGAAGAAACTGATATTGTCTGTGATATAAATTTATTTGGTTTGTAATCTACACCAGTGGGAATAGCAGTCAAGAAATAAAAAACAAAACAAAACAAAGGAGCATTGTTGCACTGGGAAAATCTATTGTCAAGGACTACTCCAAAGTGCTACATAGTTATGATGTCAATATAAGGACCAACCTGATTCAAGTTATGGTATTTTCAGTTGCTTCCTATACATCTGAAAGTCAGACAATGAATAAAATGATAGAAGAAGAATCGATGCCTTTGAATTGTGGTGTTGGAGAAGCGTACTGGGTATTCCATGAACTAGCAAAAGAACAAACAAGTCTGTCTTGTTCAAAGTGTAACCAGGCTGCTCCTTAGAGGCAAGGATGGTGAAACTTCATCTCATATACTTTGGACATGTTGTCAAGAAAGGCCAATCCTTGAAAATAGATAACATGCTGGGAAAGGTTAAGGGTTAAAGAAAGAGAGAAGACCTTCAACAAGATAGTCACAGTTGACTATAACAATTGGATTGAGCGTATCAGAGATTGTGGGGATGGCTCAGGCTAGGGCAAGGTTCAGATCTGTTGTTCATAGGGTAGTTGACCAGATAGCACCTAACAACAGCAACAACACATATCACCTTATATATCCAATTAGACATTTTGCCAACTAAAATTGTATTTTTCAAATGATATTTATATGTGTAAACTATGTGAAGATCTAAAAGCAAAAAGATACAGAAACTAAAACTAGATAGCCATTGTTTTAAAGTTTGGTGAAATAAAAATTCAAATGTTAAATACGATTTCAAAGGCTCAGAATTTTCAACATAAAATTCAATGTTCTTATGATCCACATAATTCCAGATTCTTATAATTAATAAGAGAGCAGCAATAACTTCTTGAATCATATATATACAAAGACTTAAATGGATTTTTAAAAAATTTAGTTTGTTTATTTTTAATTAATCACTTCCAAGCATTGATGGAGATAATTTTCTACAGTACACTTTATCTTAAGTTATAATTTTTAGAAGCTTATCTGTAAGGTTTAATGACTATATAAGCACTAAAGTTTATACTCACTCTTTCTTGATACTTTTGGTTTTTTTCTCTAAGTTGCCTTAATTGAACCATAAGTCGTTCTACTGCAGTTTCCTTTATTTGAAATCTGAGAACAAAGAACAACAAAAGAGCACACTACAATTATCTCAGAAAAAATTAATGAGATAAAACTTTAAAGTTAAACTAAATTATCTGAATTGAAATGAACCATCATATGTATTATTTAAAAAATCCATTTAGAGATAAATATCTTTCCTTAGTGACTTTAGGTTTCTGAATATATTTTATTTACTAAAATATGTCTTGGGGAGATATTTTCAAATTTTGTTTTGCTTTTGAAGAAAAGCCAATTCTCATTTATATTTCATAGTCACAGTGTTTACATGTTTTATTTAAGTACAAAAGAACAGTGGTGTCTCTAAAGACTAGGGTGCGTCTGATACAGACCATGTTCTTTACAATCACTTGTTCTGCATCAGAGAGTTGGACAATGACTAAGGAGGATAGAAGGAGAATTGATGCCTTTGAGCTGTGGTGCTGGAGAAGAGTACTGAGGGTACCATGGACTGCTAGGAAAACAAACAGATTCAACCTGGAAAGCGTTAAACCGGGTGTCTCCTTGGAGGCAAGGATTCTGAGGCTCCGTCTAACATACTTTGGACATGTAAGGAGGGACTGGTCCTTGGAGAGGGACATCATGCTTGGTAGGGTAGAGGGACAGCGCAGGAGGGCAAGGCTCTCTATGAAGTGGATTGATTCAGTGACTGGAGTAATCAGGATCGGTGTGTCAGAGACAGTGTGATTGTCACAGGACAGCAGAGTTTAGGGCTGTTGTACATAGGGTCGCTATGAGTCACAAGCGACTCGATGGCACATAACAACATAAATAAATAAATAATTCAACTTAATACATAGTATAAAAACAGCCAGGTAGAAATGACAAACAAAACAATTACTTTCTAAAGATAACTACACCTTGAAATACTAAGGTATTTCAAGTCAAAACTAACTCAAAGTTGACCCTCCAGTGGATTTTAGGAGGCTGTAAATTACTTGGGAGGAGACTGCCACTAGAGTGGTACTATCTTTAGGTTATCAGCACACGTCCCTACAGAATAGGCCAGCAGAGCTCCCTAGGGTAAACGTATTGTTGATGGATTGTTACCATGATAGTAACAGTGGGCTCCTGCATACCAGAGATTGTGCAAATGGTGCAGGAGAGGGCAAGAGTTGGATATGTGTTGTCCATGAAGTCAGATCAGGGTTGCTGTGAGTTGTGGTTGACTCAGTGGCATCTAATAACAACAGTATGTAGAGGACTCAGCGTTGCTTGCTAGAAGTAAAAGGCTTGAAGTATTTACAAAGATTATAACCTGGATTTCACCTGATGGCATGCATAGGAATCAGATCGATTACATATGTGGAAAGAACTGCTGGAGAAGCTCAATATCAGCTGTGATAACTAGGCCAGGAGCTGATTGTGGAACAGACCACCAACTACTCATAAGCAAATTCAAGCTAAAGCTGAGGAAAATTAAACCAAATTCGAGGCAACCAAAATATGACTTTGAGTCTATCCCACCTGAATTTCAGAACCATCTCAGGAACAGATTTGAGGCTTTGAACACTAATGAAC